ACCATACTGGCATTTCGCCCAGCCGAGACTGGAAACGCGTTTCAGCTTGCTCCAGCCTCGAGCGCTGGCCATACAGAGACTGGGACCCGAACTTCCTCTTGGGTATACATCCTTGACAAGTCCCATGGCTCCAGCTTGGGAGGAAACCCAGTCACAGAGACTGTATCGCCCTTCAGACCTCGTCTGCTGGGCACCACTGCTTGGGTTATAACACTCACTCTGTCATCCCGTCCACGTTTCTCCCACTTCCGTATCCCGCCCTTGGCCATCCCTCTCTCCCTTCGGCTGCTCCTAAATTAAGCGAACCTGCTTCTGCCAAGCTCGCCCATTCGCTCACTTGATATAATATATATATATATTTTGACATTCCTTTGAAGAAATTATTTGAGTCTCCCCTTTGAACGGAACTCGCACCACACATCGGCACAAGCAAACCGGAACGAAGGTCCGACGAGCCAGAAAGTAGCACGATGCATTTGCCCGATAACCTGTCCTCCACCAGGAGTCTGTGTATAGCAGCCCTCTACGCCACTGCAACTCTAGCCTCCATCACTCCACCTCCCGGCTTCCCGGCCTCTGTCCAGCCGCAACAGGCCCCAGGCACGCCGGCCTCCACCCCGCCTCCAGTCAAACCTCAAGCTGTTGGCACGCCTCCCCCTCCTGCTCCTATCCCACCCGCAAATCTTCCCTGCGTCGCTCAGAATCTAACCGCTGACACCTGGAACCGGCTGCAAATTGACAAGTATCTGGCCACTTATCCCGGCGGTCAGAGTCTCACACTATCAGTAAGTCCTTTCATTTCCTCTTTTCTTGCAAGCAACCTTTTTTTTTTTTTTCCTCCACTCTCTCTCTCTCTCTTTTCTTTTTTTTTCTGTCATCCTTACCCCAATATTGACATCCAACCCTTGGCTTCCTTCCAGCAATATGCAGACTCGAAAGGCGCCCAAAACTTCCGCTGCGGGATCGAGGAATTCTGCTCGAGTGGTCAGATATGTAATCCGGTGCCTGCGCCCGATTGGTACGTCCTCCTCGCCGCCCAGGAATGGAACAATTGCATGAACTCGGTCTTCAAGGCCGTCCATTTCGCTGTCAACACCGTCCAAGGTAACATTCTCATATCTCCCCTTGAAAACTCTTTTTTCAACACTGTGCTCAATTCCTCTTTCTTTCGACTGATGGTCCTAGGTACGCTTGCGCTCATGGTCACCGGATTGTAAGTCTCAAGAAGCATAAGTCCTTTTTAAACAGTTCCGACGACTGACGATCTCCAACGACTCCTTTCCGGCCTGATATGTCATGCTTCCAGAGCCGAGCAAAACATCCACGCCCACGAGATCGCCTTCGGCGTCGGAGCGTTAACATCTCTGCTAGCATCGGCGGCCGCAATCGTCGGCCTTGCCGCCGCCACGCTCTTCCTCGCCGGGTTTGTGTTTGCGTTGGCTCCGATCGCCCTGGGTGCCGGAGCGGTCGCGTTGGTCTCAACTCAAGTGGCTCCTCTGGCCTTTGGAGCAAGTTCTCTGTTAGCCAACAAGCCCGAAGACAAGAAAAGCTTCATCAAGGTTCGTCACTTCTTCCCCCCTCCCCCCAGTCAACTCTTTTCCTCAATCTCTAGCTCATTATCGTCTCTCCCCTCTTGATGAATTTTTTTTTGTCGTCCTTTGTTTTTTTTCTCAGTGGGCTTCAGTCGGTAACATGTTCTCGCAATGGGAGATCCACATGCAATCCATGATCACCAACACCACCCAAACGGTCATCAACTCTCCGATCAGCTCGAACGCCGGAATCAGCTCCGTCCTCCGAAACGGCGTCTTCTTGTTCGACACCCAAACCAAGTCCACCTCCGAGCTCCAAATCGACTACGAAACCGTCCTGCAAGCTAGGTCCCTTAACTTGGTCCTCCGAGCTATGGTCCGTCTTCTCTCGTCTTTTTCTTTTTTTCACCCACATCCATCTGACTAACTCCTCATTCTCATCTCCTGACTTTCTGTCTTTCAGGGTGCCTTTGTGACCAGAGGCAGTGTGCGTATTTTCATCATTCATTCATATATCTCTATTCGGCATAGTCTAATCCATTGATACCATTCACTTCTTTCATATGCTCTAGGACAAATGCAATTCGAAAGGCCCCAACGGAGCCTGGGGCGACGAAGGAACGCTGTCGTACTGCGGCCCAGACAAAGTGTGAGCAAGCTCTCCATACCCCACCGGTCTTCGGGGATCCGATCCGAATTTGACTGAGCATGACTTTCCTCCTTGGATCCATCAATCACACATCAAACAAATCAGAATGATGAACATCGTGCTGGCGCATGGCGATAAGACTAAGAACAAGATCCAGAACGCCAAATATATCGCGACCAAATTTGGATTCACTACCGAATATATCGTCACCCAATCGTGGAACTGTCAGCAGAAATACCAGCAGTTCGAGTTCGATCCGTACCGTGATGCGTGAGTGTCTTTCCAATCAATCACCCCGTCACTCATATACCTCATCACTCAACTGTTGTTTGTTTCTTGTTTCGGGGGAGGTACAGGCCGTTGCCCTCGGATGCCAATGCGGACTGTGTGATGAACCTGCCTGTTTGCGACCTGACTGACCAGAGTGAGTCTCCCCCATTGTTTTCCTTTTTCGACTTTATTGTGTTGTTCATCATCCGCATCATTCTTACCTGTTTTTTTTTTCGTCCCGCAGGAATCGACCAAGCCCGTCACGGAAAACACCACCACACGACCAAGGCTTGCAGGACCCAGGGCGGCCTCCCTATCTGATCGACCACTGACATTCTCACCCCTCTTGCACACTCTTCTTCGCGTCCAATCCTCCCTCCCTTTCGAGGTCGACGAGCATTCCTCATTTATATTCATATATATATATATATATATATATATGTCCTTGTTAATCTTTTCTTGTCTTCTCCTTCTCCTGTTGCTTTGCTATTCTTCTTCTTCTTCTTCTTCTCCTTCTTCTGCTTTGTTTTGCTTTGCTTTACTTGCTCTCTGGCGATCATCGTCGTCCATCACATCACTCGTTTTCTAGAACCTAAAATCAGAAAATATTCAACCCTTTCTCCTCCTTTTTTTTCTTAAACCAATAAAACCTTCTTGTCATTCTTAGTTTTATACATATATATATATATACAATCCATCGAAAATGACTATTGTCGAACAAAAGATGAATCCGTTTTAGTCGAGGACGGACAGGAACATGAGGGGCTGCAGTTTTTGGAGAGGCAGGAGGAGGAGGAGGACTAGTGCGCCTGGATGTTGCCTAATCCCTGACGAGGAGATTGGGGATGAAGAAGGCGGCTCTCTTCTTCGTCTTGTCATTGAGATCGGGGCGCAGATATCGTTGCCATCAGTTTATGTGACTGTTATTGATCAGGTGGATTTGTGGACTGCTCTCTAAAGAAAGAAGAGATAACACGTGGGTTTTTTTTTTCAAGAGCACACTGCTGGCTGCTGATCAAGGACTTGGCATGCACTGAAATAAAAGAAAATATGGAACAAGACTGAAGTCATTTAATCCTTCTCTTGCTTCTTTCTTCCACAGTTGCACTGTGAGCTGGTCCACCTCTGTTGAACGATCGACGAGGTTTCAGCAGCCCTTTCACAGTCTTCTTGTGTGTGGGGCTGTGACAGGTGAGAAGCCGAGACCACTCCTCGATCCCCCGGCAAGGATTTCTGGTGCCAAGCTTTTGACCAGCCACACTCCGAATGTCGATGATAGTCAACTGGTCAAAACAACTCATCTCATCAACAGCAACAGCAACAGCAACAGCAACAACCATCAGCAGAAGAACAACAGCCATCAGAACGACCAACTCAAGATATTCGACGACGACGACGACGACGAGGAGGAGTAGTAAGAATCAAACGATGATCTCTGTCAGTGATCTTAACCCGGCTATCATTCAGGCCCAATACGCCGTCAGAGGAAGGATCGCCCTTCGAGCGGAACAGTTCAGTCCTCTCAAAAACAAACCCCTCCTTCTTCTTCATATTCCAAAATCTGGTATCTATACTGAAAAAAAAAAAATTGGATTTGGTTTGTTCTTATGTAGACTTAGAGCTACTTTACAAGCTGATCCGGATGCCAAAAATCAACTAGGATTCGATTCGATCATCAATTGCAACATCGGAAATCCGCAACAACTCGGCCAGAAACCGATCACCTTTTATCGCCAAGTTCGTCCTCTCCTTCCTCCCCCCTTTCCATCATTATCATACCAAAAAAAAAAAAAAAATTGATGTATGAATCTTTTTGGGGTGATGGTAGGTGGCATGTTTGACGGAATATCCGGAATTGATGGACGCTCCTGAGGCCTCCAAGTTGTTTCCTAAGGACGTCGTAGACCGTGCTAGGTCTCTTTTGGACTCCATCGGCAGCGTCGGAGCGTACAGTCATTCGATGGGCGTCCCAATCATTCGACAACATATAGCCCAATTCATCCAGAGTCAGTTGTCTAATTTCTTCTTTGAAAGGAGCCCCTCCCCCTCCCAAAAAAAAAGGCTAATCGTGAAAAAAAAATCGTAGAACGGGATGGATTTCCAGCGGACCCAGAGACGATATATTTGACAGCAGGAGCCTCAGCAGGAGTGTCGAATATCATGCAACTATTACTATCAAAGGAGACGGATGGAGTGATGATACCGATTCCACAATACCCATTATACACGGCGGCGTTAGCCCTGAACTCGGCACGAGCGGTGGAATACTACCTTTCGGAGGCGGACGATTGGGCGCCGAATCTAGCCGGCTTAGAGGAAGTGATACGGAAGGCACAGGAGGAGGATCAGACGAAGGTGCGGGCGATGGTGGTGATTTCACCGGGGAACCCGGTGGGCAATTGTCTGAGTCAAGAGAGCATGGAAGCGATTGTCCGGTTCTGTTTCAAGCACAAGATCTTGTTGCTAGCCGACGAGGTCTATCAGACCAACATCTTCGAGCCCGAGCAACGGCCGTTTGTCTCGTTCAAGAAGGTGGTCCGAGGGATGGAGGAGTCGATTGCCTCGGGCCAGGGATTGATCAGCTTCCACTCGATCTCGAAGGGACAGACGGGCGAATGCGGCCGTCGAGGCGGTTACTTCGAGCTCGTCAACATCCCCAAAGAGGTCCAAGAGCAAGTCTACAAGATGGCCTCCATCCAACTCTGTCCGCCCTTGGCCGGCCAGATCGGCGTCGATCTCCAAGTCAAGCCGCCCCTCCCTGGTGACGAATCTTATCCCCTCTTTAAGAGCGAGGTCGACTCGATTGCACAGGCTTTGGCAGATCGCTCAAAGACCCTCGCCGACTCGTTCAATCGGCTCGACGGCCTCTCCTGTCGAAAGGCCCAGGGCGCAATGTATCTCTTTCCCAAACTCGAGCTCCCGACTAAGGCTCATCAAGCCGCCGAACAAGCAGGCTTACCTGTCGACGAATTCTATTGCATGGAATTGTTAAATCAAACCGGGATTTGCGTATGTCTATCTTTCATTCTAACATGTTTTTTTTTTTTTGGGGGGGGGTTATATATACTTACTCTTTCCTTTTCTGGGTTTGGATCGTTGGGTGGACATAGATTATTCCGGGATCGGGGTTCGGCCAAGAGCCGGGGACGTTCCACTTTCGGACGACCTTCTTGGCCCCTCAAGTGGAGGACTATGTGGCTCGGTTCAAACAGTTTCATTCCGCTTTCTTGAACACCTATTCATGATCACCTTCGAAGAATGGAAACCCCCCCTCCCATCGATCTCACTTTTTGTTCATTTACATACGCACCATACCGTTGTTTATCGCAGTCCTTCTTATTTATCTCTCTTCTATATTCTGTTTCCTCCTCTCTTTTCTTTTGAAATCAAGGAACACACATCATTCCAATCACTTAATGTGACTTGAAGACGTCACTTTCATGGGCAGCTCTGATAGATATACATACATCTATGTCAGACCTATCATACTTACAGATCATTTTGTGAATACATATCAAATCAGATTTCCTTTTCATAGCCATCTCCACTCAATCTACTCTCTACCTCATAATCCATGCTCCTCCTGATCCATCTGATGGTTATATACACATACACATAAACAAGAATGGATTGATGATACCATGCATACATATTCCATGATGATGATGATGAAGGAGGTTTCTCCTCTCTCAAGATGGATCCCTGACCAAAAGAAAAACATGAATGGTTGGGTTGGTTAAAGTGCAGTGCCTCTATGTCTAAAACCAGCAGGGGGGGGGGAATACCAGAGCAGCAAAACGGGACCCCGGTGGAAGCCATTCTTCATCAATCCCATAGCTGAGGGGTATGATCCATTAAAAGGATGACAGCAAGTTGGAGTGGTGCAGAGAAAGTTGTAGAAGCTGGTTGTGGATGATGATGATGGATTGAGGAGTGGGATATTGAGATGACATGTCTGTGACAGGATCTGTGAACCTCGCGAGAGCCACTTCTTCACTTCTTCACTTCGATCGGATCCAGAACTTCTTCCGAAAACCAACCAACCAACCGAGCGACGAAACAGGAGGGGACAACCAATCACAAAAAACAAGACGATACGCGATCAAGGTAAGTCGAGATCAAGCACATCATACTGACAGCTACATCGATTTGCTAAGATTACACATGAACAGGGACGACGAAAACGAAGATGACGGTCCAAGGGATGGGCACGATGATGTACCAACAAGTGCGCCGGTTCACGAGCGGGATGACGATCCAGTTCCCGCTGCAGCCGGCCAAGCAACGCAAGACGGTCCCGATCCGCAACCCGCGTCGGCCGCATCTGCCCGACCCTGTCGACAGCGACCCCTCCGCACAACGCTTCAAATTGGCCGAACATCCCCGAGTGATGTTCGTCATTCGGGAGCCCGGAGGGACGGCGAATCTGGCCGACAAGCTCGGGAAGCCTGCGACGCTCTCGTCCAAGACCGAGGCCATCGACCCTGCTCCTCCTTCCCCCACCATCATCGGCCTCTCCCATCCCATCCTCTCTTCTTCTTCTTCTTCTTTACCATCATCTTCTTCTTCGAGTCCAGCAATCTACAAACTCCCGCCCCCGCTTCGAAAGCCTAAACCATTCGCAACCTCGTTGACGCCCTCTCAAGCGCTCGAAATCCAGAAGCTTCGCCCCTCCCATTCGCTCTCCCACCTCAGTCGTAAATTCAACATCCCCCGAATCCTCGTCGCGATCCTCGGTCCCCCTTCCCCGCAAGATCGCACACTCATCAACTCCAGACATTCGCTCAGAACCGCCCGCAAACAGGCCCGTTGGAGCGTCCCTAAAGTCGTCAGGAGACACGAAAAACTCGTCCGCAGAAGTTGCTGGTGATCTCTTATTCCCTGATCACCTCATCATTCATTCCCCCCTTTTTTTTTCTTCTTCTTCCTCTTTGAAAAAAAACGTCAATCATCTGTTTCTTTATACATTTTTGTTTTGGTGAATGTCAACGATATGGGGAGAGGGAGAGAGAGAGAGAGAGAGATACCTGAAAGAAGAGCACGGAGAGAGATGGGCGATGGTGTGGCGAGAAAGCCAAGAAGAACATGCCAGGAGAGAGAGAGAGAGGATCACATTGGTTGGCGTCTTGGTTTCGACCGGAACACCAGATGGCTGAGAGTCATACGTCCACAAGAAATTGAGCGAGAGAGAGAGAGGATAGGAATTGAGAAGATACTGAGATCCCAGTTGTGCATCCATACATACATAGATATATACACTTACATATATCAACTTATCAGCTGCAAGTTTGGTCGAATCCTCTCATTTCTTTCAACCTGATTTTTTTGGATGAGAACAACACAATGCGGGTGTACATCGCCATTTGCAATCCTTGCTTTCCTCTTGCATTTTCATAAGCACATCAAAAGAACAATAGATAGGAGGAATACATATAGATGAGGAAAACATGCTGCTTCGAAATCGTATCCAAGGCTATCGACCATTTCTATAAGTTATATATGTAAAGAGATACATAAACGGTCTATGCATGCAAAAAAAGAGTGGAAAAAAAAAACAACCCCACATTGGGATGACGATGATGATGATGTCCGAGAATGATGATGATTTTGGGTTTTCTGATTCGGGTCGGGCTGATTGGTGATAACTTTTCCATGCTCACAAATAACAACAACAAAGTTTTTTTTTTAAAAAAAAGCAACCTAAAGAAGGAGAAAAAAAAAACGAGAATGAAAGAATATAAAAGATGGCGTATATTATTCAACACTCAAATAAACACCGAAAGAAAAGAAAACGGGTTAATAATTGCAACGCGAAAAAAACCACACAAATCCTTGTATGTTTTTATCCGCTTGAAAAAAAAAGGGAAACCGACGAATGAATGGACGAGATCTCACACGGACAAGAAGAGTAGAGGAGAGGAGAGGAGAGAAGACAGAAGGACGTACAAATAATCCAGAGGTTCGCCTGTTCCACGCAACATCACTCTCCTCCATTCCAAGACCAATCTAAACATATAAGCCGCCTATAACCCAACCCAAGTCAACCCAAAGAAGAAGGAATATTGGAAAAAACAAAAGGGATGTTTACCATATCAGTTCTTCTCCAATGTTCAGCCGCCCAACGTTTGCCTTGAGAAGCGATTTTCTCAGCCAATTGGTCGTGTCCAGTATTCTTCTTGGTTTTCCGCTTCTGATGTTGATTATAACGCTCTCTTCCTCCGTCTCCGTCTCTTCTAGATCTTTTCCTTTTACGCTCTGGGGATCGCTTCGTCGGTCGGCTGTTGGGATCTTTGTTCATTTCTTCTTCTTCTTCCTCCTCCTCTTCTCCTTGGAAAAAAACCATCACATCATATAAACTATTTTGGGTTTGTTTGTTTGTGTGTTTCAATAAACAAAAAGCAAAAAACGGAAGAATCTGTCAGTAAACGATACTTTTTTTGTAGATCGATATGCAGTTGATTCCAATAAGGGGAAAAAGAAAGGGAGGTACTTACTCGGAATAATCCACTTTAATAGGAACATAACTTAAAAAAAAACCCATTAAACAGCAAAAAATGAAACACCCCCACCGGAGCAAAAATAGTAAGCATAAGACTGATCAAAAGAAAAGATGAGAAGAGAGAAAAAAAAAGGACGTACTGAACCCAAGGTTGGATTCGATCCGAATACCATTCCGGAAAGATTGTCGACTTGAGCACTAAAGATTTCGTCGACATCAATCGATGAAATCTTCCTGACCAACCATTCTATATATACATTAAAAGGGATTATGATTTATAATCAAATATCTATATAAAGTATATATATAAGGGGGATTGAAGAATAGACAGAACTTACGCCGTCTACATCCATTAAATATTTATACTACGAGAGAGAAGTAAACACGAAGAAGAAAAAAACACAGGATCAGGGCCGAGGATTGAGACGAGGTGGGAAAGGTGGAAGAAGAGAACGGACGAACCTGATAGCTTTCATCCAAGCCCATGGTCCCCGCGAACTTCAAATGGGTGTGCATATACTCACAGGTAACAGGGTCGCATTGGACGGGTCCGCCGGAGAAGGAGACATCCAACAACTTATGGTTCAGCGACTCGATGTCTTTAGAGACGATCCGAGTGAGCGAGTCGTCGGGCGAAAGGATGTGGGTGGAGCCGTTGGAATGGTGGGCCATCAGATGCAGACGCGCACGCTGACTCGCTCGCCAGTCCACATCGCTCCGGAACTCCGCCCCCGTCGTCGACCCCCTCCATAATAACTTCGTGATCTTCTTCTTCGACCATTCTGGATCATCGCCGATATACGTATCGCTATATTGTTCCAAGGGCGTCACTAATATGTCGCTCTGTGTCCTGTACACACACACACACACACACACAAAAACACAAACATTTTTTTTTTCAGTGGTTTGTTTATAACTCAGATGTAAGAAAACAAAAACACAGACGTGGTCTTGGCGAAGTGAACAGGGACTAGTCGACGTTATCAGTCCCCGCAGCACT